GCTCTCCTCGGACGAGTGAACCCGGAGACCCACACGTACCTACATAGATACATATGTATGGAGCGGGATCCTGGGTTCTGGGTTCTGACATCTGACTTCTTGGACCTCTGGGGAATACTTCGCACCTCCAATTCGAGGCTTTCAAACAACTTACAAGTACATTGCTTTCTTTACATGGATGTATATATGTATGTAAGTTGGAGGCACGGAGGCAAGGCTGAACACATACATACATACATACATACATACATACATAGGTGGTAAATCGACGACGACGATGACGTTGGACTGAGCTCTCACCGCTCTCATTCCCACGGTGTGTGTGTTACCCAGTGCTGGCCAGCAACCCGTTCGAAGGAGCGGACCATGCCATGCCTGTCGTCGCTTTGCAAGGGCTTGACCAGTCAGTGTCGGTGTTGGGCTGCTTTTCTACCTACGCCCGATATCAATGTCGCAGGATAATACGAGAGGTGTTACACAGAATGCAGGCAGCCATGTGCTGGCAATGCTCAACTGAAGCATCACACGCACGCTCTGGACGTTGATATAGATAGACGCATCGCTCGCACATAAAGACTTGGGTAGAATATCATAATTGCGCCAAACAACATAATCGGCATCTTGTATTGCTTCTTCTGGTCAACAGTCAACAAAGATGGTTCAGACTCTTTTCGATTACCTGACCCAGCGTAATGCGCAATTGGTGGTCCACTTTCCACCACCTACATATACCGACAGTGACATGTGGAATCCGGTCGAGGCAATCGAACCGTGGGAGGACTTCGACCTCGCAAGCCTCACCCGGCGATATCGTCAGTCTCTAGATGCGGACACAAGTCTAACCAGTACTGTGGAAGCCACCGAAGAAGCTGGCCACACGGTGATTTGCGACGAAACAGCACTCAACATAGTCCTTGGGAGCACAAATATCAGCATGGTATCTCGCGCTCTCCCTGGGTCATTGTTCCTCTCTACCGGATCCCGAATCATGGGAGACCCTACTGTACGGCCTGATTGGGGGGTTGGGGATGCCAGCATCCATTGTCCACATCCAAGGGGTATTTGTCCAGCGCTCGTCTGCGGAGACACCAAGGTGGGCTGGGACGTTGAGCGTGCGATACGCGTAGTAGGTAATGGTGGCTATGAAGATCGCCCCGACACTCACTTGGTCCGACCTTTTGAACAATTGCAGCACTATTGTACTGTATACCGTACGCGATATGGGTTTATCCTGACCAACGAATTTCTGGTCCTTATTCGGCTGAAACTTTCACCACCAGCATCCAAGCAGAGGCGTTTTCGGCCACGGAGGCAGACCGTGGCAGGAAGCCATCGACGAGTACTGTCGGACACATCCACTGGTACCAATGTATCGGAAGTTTCGGAAACGTTCAGTACAATATCTTTCCAACCAAAGCCACAAGATGAGGACGTGGGTGCATTAGAGGTGAAGATAGTCCCGTGGGATCATGGTAGCTCGCGGGAGACGATTAACATCAATCTTTACTTCTTGGCTCGCCTGGCAAGTGAAAGCCGAGAACTATCCCACCACTATGAGCCGCTCAATATCGACGTCGAAGTTCCGGGAAAAGAGAAACGCAAGAGGCTAGACGACAGCACTGAGCAATCGTCTGGGCGGGGTTCGAGGAAGCCGTGAGCGTTGTAAACTGTCAAGATACAATGCAGCCTGCTGTTCGAAGCAGCAAGGACAGAAGCACCCGGCGAGGAGAAGTCGGCGTTGACAATATCATCGATCAATGACATCGTTTCATCTCAGCATAGAGTTGTTCCCGGTCCATTACTCTCACCTGCCTCGCATCCCCTGAGAGCGAAGGCGAGCAGAAAAGGGTCCAGAAAAATTGTCGCGTGTCTAAATTTTCAAGCCAGGCACTGGGTAAAAGTGCGAGGGTAGACCTCTTGGTAGAGTGTGTTGTTGGCTGCTGAGGGCAAACAAGGCTAAGTTGTTCGATGACAACACCCGTGGAGTCGACAAGCGACGCGATCTTGCAGCCCATTGATGTAATACTGTTGCCTTTCGCTTCGGAACAAGATGCTGAGACAAACTGGTCAAGATGATTCGCCATGGTTATTGTCCATGTGGCTGGCCGTTCAGTTGATGCTGGTTCCAAGAATGGGAGTATTGAAGAAAGTGAGGGGAAGAATGGTCCTACAGCGCGTTAGCCATACACCTAAAGAACGACTTTGAGAGAGAACAAACCATCGTCCATCATCCTCGCAGACAGAATGATCAGTGCAAGCTCGGTCGCTAATAGACTGCGAGGAATACTAGAAGATAGTACTTTGCGGGTGTCCTCCTCCGTCATCCCTAGCAGTTGTTTGAAATGATCGAATAAGTGAGCAGACTTTGCCCTGAGAGGGTATCAGCATCAAATTGAAATATCGCACTGGATGCCTCCTCACATGTCAAGAACACAGATTCGAATGTTGTCACATTCGACGTCTGCTGCATGTTTGAGCGATCGCAACCGGACCATACCGATCATCGCGCAGGGTCGCTCCCGCGTGAAGGTATACGCTCGACTAAAGTCGTGTAGGACGATGTCATGTGGTGATTTTGGCAGGCCAAAACAATCAAATTTGATGTCGCCATGAAGGATCCCAAGTGCATGAGCAGCCGTTACCTTTGTCAGGCGCTCTTTCAGTACACTCACATACCATCTCTCCTCAAGCGGAGATAAGTCCAGTTTCGCAAGCTCAGCCCGTAATATTTCAACATACGGTGCAAAGTCACCGACGTCACGTCCTGAATACAGATGCCGACCTCTAAGTTTGGTCGTTAGAACGTCAAACACAATGCCGTGGCGAAAGGACGTCCCGCAAAACCTCCGATCGAGACGGGAGGGAGAGACTTCGAAGGTTCCATGATATCGCCGGAAGAAAGATTGTTGATGTGCAGGGAGGAATTTTCGCATCCTTTCATATGCCCTTGTTTCTAGGGCAAAGGGGCTGACATCGTGTCGTACTTTCTGCAGGCTCGGCTTTCGTCTCCAGAGGCGTAATGCTTGTGCTCTTGCCTCCTCATCTGAGTATGGCCTAAACTTTCGCATGTTCAGCCAATGGTGCTACTCAAAGTCGACGAGAATGGTACTAACCAGTTTTACAGCATAGAGCCTGTTTTCTCTTCTTGCAAGCCATACTTGCGCGGGCGCTCCTGGCGCGGGATAATTCAAAGGGCGAACCATTTCCAACGAGCCATCATCGAACTGCAGAGGCTCTGTGTCAACATCGGTCGTCCAAGTTCTGTCGGAGATGCCCTGGAAATCGGCGAGGAATTCCTCTTCCCACGGGAGAGAGCCATCGAGCACAACCCTTTTTCGAGGGTGTTCCTGAGGTGAAGGAGGGATTAGAGGAAGTTTTCGTTTGTAGACCGCTTCCTGCATTGGTAGTAGTTTTTAGTCGGAGGGTAACCAAGTTTGGAGGTGCGAGGAACGCGGAAAGGGGCATTGGCGTGTTGTGACAGGCAGCGACTACAGAGCGAAGGGATACATACTTCACCGTAACATCTATCCTGTCACGTGACCGCGCATCTGGTGAACCTGCGGCTCTTCAGTGGCAGCTTACACAAGGACCAGGGAGACTAAATGCAGATTTCATTCCGAAGACAGCTTCAATCGGTTGCATAACCGCTTCCCCGTATGCTGCTGCCAGTCGAGCGAATCACTGAACCCTCAACGAGATGCATCTGTCAGGTGAGGGAACAGCGCCAGAAGAACCTCCCTGCAAGACAAGAAATACCGTTGCAGTGTCTCACACAAGCGAGGGCACAGCAAATTAGCCTACAAGTTAAAAGTACCGAGGACCTGGTGCAAGTAGGAGACGGTGAGACCGCAGCGGGTTTTCGGTGTCCGGCTGGGGTTCGTCACCCTATCAGTCACGATCATTGACAAACGAGAAGAAGAGGTTAGCCACAGCCACAGGGTATTGGCAGGAAACAGACGAAAGGTGATAACGCCAATGCCAGTGACAGTCACCGGGCTACAAGTAGATATGGCTGTGCACAGTACTTGTACAGCTCGTATACTGCTGCCTCGTACTCGTATACATCTGCTCAGCCTTGTCTACCAGGGCGGAGCGTTCCGGGGCGGGCCGTTATTTCTAAAGCTCTCCTTTCTCCCCAGCCCTCTTCGTTCCCTCGCCTGTTCTTATTCGTCGCCAATAGGGCATGCTAGGCGCAGATAATTGGCATCTGCATTCCACGTGCGTCAATGAAGGGAAACTGATAGAAGCCCACATGGCATGCTCGCTAAGAGGAGCCTGAATAGGATTCGCGAAAATCGCGCTGGTGCCGTGAACGAGTCTTGGATCCGTCTCAGTCCTCGACGGCCACCTCCGTACCCCGTGTATAGCCCGGACAAGGCTCAGCAAGGCTGCCCTGCCTCACTCAGACAGAGCGCAAGGTGAGCGCAACGCTGGTATCAAACAGAACAGTCTCCTGAACTAGTGGCTTTCCTACCTGTCCATCTGTCCGTCTGATGTTGTCCACCAACTCATCCACTCTCGGGAGCCGCCGCATGCTTGCTTGACCGCTTGTTTTGGCTTCTCTGGCGCACGTGGCTGGTTCTACCACAAAATAGCTCAGTGTGGCGTGATCTGGCTGAGTTGTGAAGCTGGGCGAGATCTGTGTACCAGAAAAGACCTTGAAGCTGGCACTTCAGGCAGTTCAAGCCACCATGGAACGTGGCGAGATATGTGGACAACAGTTCAAGTATTTCTTACAAATCCAAGTACTGTCTCTGCTGGTTGAGGTACTCCGCCGGTCACCACTGGTGGGGGCCTCTACCAAGGCTGTAGCATTGGATGGAGGCATTCGGCGAAGACCTAGTGCATTGAACGCCAACAACGTTATCTGGACATGCTCATGGTTGTGGATAAAGCAACTCCATGGCGGTAGATCGTAGTGTGACTGCGCCTCCGTTACATTCGCTTGTTCCCAAGAAGCCGAAAGAGAGAGACGTTCTGGGCGTTTGAAGGCGACACGTTCACTGAATGATCGACTTGAATCCATTGTATGCTTGCTCCATGTCGAATGCCAAATCCCGCGCCTGCTCCTCGCTAAGCTCCTCTGAGGTCTTCATCTGGTTGAGAGTGATCAGCCACTGGATGATCTTGCCACGATGGTCAAAGTCTTGCTCTGTGACTTTGTTCACCGACTGGATAACGTCTGATAGAAGCGGGTGCAAGGCAGTCTTCGAGACCATGTTCAACCGTAGCGCGTCAAGGAACGTGATGAAATTCTCGGTCGCGACCAAGATCAAGCTGCCCGAAAGATTGCCTTGCGGTGCTGTAGATCCAGGAGCAGCCTTGGCCACAGTTATCGTTTCCACACTGGACAGACCGATTTTTAGACGTTCTTTGGCGCGGGGACACTCGATGTCCCACTTCTGTGTGAATGTATCCAGGTCTCCAAACTCTCGTGCGACACTTTCGTCGCTCAATATTGATCGATACTGCTTGAGCAGTTTCGAACACATGTCCGAGTATTCCGTCTCTGGTAGCGCATCTTTTATATATGCTTTTTCCAGTCCGTCGATAGTGCGGATGATGCTGTAGATCTCGGCTAGGGAGTCGATCAGATCACGTTCGGCAGACGAGTCGGCGAGTTTGACTTCTTCGTCGAGGTTGATCCGCGCGGACAGAGTGTTTGCTGGATAAGCATAGGGAGTGGGAGCGTAGGCTAGACTGCGGCCTGGAGGGTTGCTGTACATTATCTTATGTCGCACCAGCGACAAAGTAGTTGTGCAGGAAGCAGATATGGTAGAAACGGACGAAGACAAAGACCACGAGGCTGACCTCGAGATGCGTCTGAACAACTAAGAGGCTGTGAGGGGGAGGATTAGGCGCATGCGGGGAAACACCGGCAAAACCTCGGCTTGGCATAATTTTTCCTTAACCTGCAATTGATTTCGCCAAATTGACTCTCTCGTTAGACGACACAAGATCTGGTGTTGCAAGGAATACCTAACACTCGTAGCCTTCATCATGGGCAAGCAGACAAAGGCTACGAAAAAGTTCGAGAAGAACCGCCTCAAAGACACGATCGAACGACGGAAAGAATTTGCCAAAGTCAAACAGCGGCACCAGCAAAAAGAGAAAAAGAAACAAAAAGCTGCGCTGAGGTCAAAAGACGAGGATGAGAAAGCGGAGTCGGATCTTGAGGTCGGAGACAATGGAGCCGAGGCTATGAACGAGGACGACTTCTTCCAGGACGCCGTTGATATACCAGAGCACGAGACTCAGTCTCTGAAGAACAAGGGCGGAAAACGGAAAAGAGAAAAGACCACTGACGAGCCCTCGGATCTTGACGACGATGGCTCGGAAGATGAGTCTGGGGACCACAAAACTCAATTAGCTGCATTGGCCGAGAAAGACCCTGAGTTCTATAAATACCTGCAGGAAAATGATGCAGAGTTGCTAGAATTCGACGCAGACGATGATCTTGCAGCAGTTGATGACCTGAGTGAAGAGGAGCCCCCAACAAAAAAGCAAAAGACAAAAGGGTCCCAGAAAGACGACCCCGAGACAGCGGGTGATGTTACTCTCGCAATGGTAAAGAAGTGGAAAACCTCCTTGGCCGAACAATTCTCCATAAGAGCTCTCAGACAAGTGGTGCTGGCTTGCCGCGCTGCGGCGCATGCGGACGACGAAGACGACAAAGTCTTCAGATACAATATTTCGAGTCCAGAGGTGTACCACGAGGTTCTCATAACGGCACTCAAGCAGGTCCCCCCAGTGTTGTCACACCATCTTCCAGTCAAGGAGTGCGCTGGCGGCAAGTTGCGCATACCGACAGATTCGCCCAAGTTCAAGACTCTTGCACCATTGATCAAATCACACGCCTCCTCTCTACATTACTTGCTCAAGAATTTATCCGATACGAAGACATTGAGGTTGACGCTTGAGTCCTTCGAGCCACTCCTCCCGTACCTCCTCCAGTTTCGCAAATTTTTGAAGGTTCTTACGAAAGCTGTCGCATCTGTTTGGTCCGATAATTCCTCTGATGAAGCAACAAGAATCACCGCTTTCCTCGTTATTCGCCGATTAATGGTCATAGGTGACGCTGGGATACGCGAGGCTGTCCTGAAGGCGACGTATGAGGGCGTTGTTAAGGGCAGCCGAAACACAACAGTTCACACCCTTGCAGGAATCAACTTGATGAAAAACTCGGCAGCAGAAATTTGGGGTATCGACCAAAAGGTCAGCTACACTACAGGCTTCACGTTCATCCGCCAACTTGCCATTCACCTTCGGGGCAATATCACCAAACCGACCAAGGATTCATACAAGACAATATACAACTGGCAATTTGTTCACTCTCTTGACTTCTGGTCTCGGGTACTGTCCAGTCACTGCAACTGGCTTTTGGAAGCACAGAATGGCAAACCCTCCCAGCTACGTCCTCTCATCTACCCCGTGGTGCAGGTCACTCTTGGCGCTTTGAGGTTGATACCGACCTCCACATACTTTCCTCTTCGGTTCCAACTGATGCGGTCATTGCTTCGTATCTCACAGGCTACCGAAACATACATACCCTTGTCGGCGGCTCTTTTAGAGGTCTTAAATTCGGCAGAGATGAAGAAACCTGCAAAAGCTTCCACACTGCGTCCTTTGGATTTTGCATCGAACATCAGGGCCCCATCATCCCTTCTGAAAACGAAAGTGTACCAAGATGGTGTCGGCGAACACGTTGTAGAGTTACTGTCCGAATTCCTTGTGCTGTGGACGAAGAGCATTGCATATCCCGAGCTTCAGTTGCCAGTCGTCATTATGTTGAAGCGGTGGCTCAAAACAGCTTCAAAGCCCACCGGAAACAAGAATGGCAAGCTCAATCAGGCACTTCTTGTGCTGGTCCAAAAGTCGGAGGCCAATGCTAAATGGATCGAGGAAAGGAGGATCAACGTCAACTTCTCGCCCAAGGATCGGACGGAGGTGGAAACGTTCTTGAAAGACGTGCAATGGCAGGACACTCCTCTCGGGGCATTCGTTGTCTCGCAGAGAAAGTTGCGGGAAGAGAGGAGAAAGGTGTTGGAGCAGGGGAGAAAGGAGCAAGAACGACGAAAGGCTGCAGAGGAAGAAGCTGCGGACAGTGATATTGAGATTGCTTGATGGGCACTAGGCGAATAGAGTGCAGTAGAGGAAGTTGTGCATAGAACCCCACAAGTCCATACTGGCGCTGGAGCCTGGCCGGCTGATGATGCTTCACTAGAATGGAATACTCGAAGGGTTGGAAGTTTGATATGGAGTATTGGGCTAATGATGATGGACTCGACTTTCACAAACAATAGCACCAGGTTTTCCAATGGGCTGCAAGTAGATTCCATTACCCCTATGGCAATCAAGAAACGAGCAGCTGTTCTCTTCTGTTCACCCCAATCTCTGTATGTCCAGCATCCCTTCCACATACTTCCCACCTATCTGTGGCATCCAGGGGTTTCTGCCCTTGTCCAACCTCATGCCTCATCTGCTCCGCAGCCTTTTTGGGACCCTGCTTCATAGGGTAGGAGCCTTGAGCTTCGTCTTGAACACCCTCTGCACCGCCCTGCTCAGCCGGCTGCTACACTAGTAGTGTCTTGGGAGACATGACCTGTGGCTCTTGTCTCGTATATGTTCTTATCTTGAGAAGCCCAGATTGGGGGTTGGTCTTTGCCACGTTTGAGGCGTTGGGTGCATCACCTTCCGTGGTGGTGGCCGCGATCGAGTGATGTAAGGGGCTGTATAGGGTATAGAGTGAGTCGAATGTCTCAATGGACAGAGCCGTATCTTCGGGTGGCGGCGCTCACTGAATTTCTTCTGTCGGGTCTGTCCAGGTGCCAGGCGCAGGTGAGGCGCTGGTAGGTCATGTGCCACCCTTGGAAGCGAGGAAAGGGTCTTCATGTTAGCAACTAGGGATGCCCAGTACTTTGTGCTTGTAGATGGGAGTAACCTGTGTGTTAGCAATACCCACGACACCCACGACTTGTCTTCAAACAGCCCGAACGAGATCGTCTTCTGGACCGTCACTCTCTTCATTGCAGTCAGGATGATGATCACCTGCCACCATCGTTAGCTCTAGAAGTATCAAAGGAATCCACGCTTCAGCGCTGGTTGCATGCCCATATCTAGATGAGATCAAGAAGCGACAGGTACAAAGTGGCGGGAGCTAGATCCGGGGGGCGCAACGAAGTCGAGTGGAGCACAAGTGCCGAATGCTAATGAAACGTCGACCACGCATCTCGTGGACTCTTTGTCGACCGGGCTCCCTCGCCTCGGTTGGTCTGCTGGTATTGCACGAGGCGCACAAAGCTGAGGCAGCAGAGGCATTATCTGAGCAAACACGAGCTTACCACGTCGGCCGACACGAGGTCCCGAGACTGTGAGGTGAAGCTCCCAAGCCTGCGCCCCCCAATAACCAAAACGGAAATGAGTTGTGCCTGAGCTGTTGAAACATCAGGTGATGTTTACCGATCGCCATTGCTCTTCTCGCATAAGCTCGTCCCGCCCGGAAAGTCTCATCATGCGTTACCGAAGGAGGGTGACATGGATCCTGTGTGTACCAGGTACTTTGTATCTTGCAGCTCAAAGGCTTGGTTCGTAGCTCTTTGTGGCTCCTGACGCTGGGGCGACGTCACCGCCAGCCGTATCGCTTCGTTGTCCAATTTTCTCATTTGTGCTCACTGCCTCACTGTGATATCGACGATTCACTGGTGAAATCGATCGCTGTGACTGAATATAAACCAGGACATCCTCCCTCCCTGCGGCAGATTGTACCTCTACCAAAACATTTTCGAAAATCAAACTTGAACATACACCTTGGCAAATATATCAAGGCTGTCTCACTATGGGTGACCCAGGCAGAAGCTTCAGCACCCAAATTCACCACGACTTCCAAGGCAAATGGGGCATCAAGCGCCGCCGCAGTCGAGCACTGAGCTTCAGACTCCCCGATCGCTTCGACATCGGGACTACTCTGAGTGTAAGTGCCGCTGGTCCATTGCTGCCTCAAGAGTTCAGGCCATTTCTAACCTCTCCCGTACAGGAGTACTGGGCTGGCCTGGCCATTGAAGAAGAAAGCGATGGAGCACTCAAGATTGGAATTGCAATCCATGACGGAACGTATGGCATCGACTTCGCTGTCCACCGTATATCCCTGGACCCCGAGGAAGAGCGTGAGGGGAGCGGAGATGGGGATTGGATTGCAGACCACGTCGTTGAGGAGCTATCCAACTACCGGAGGCAACACGAGTGCAAAATTCTTGGTGTCGGCGTCATTGGCGACGTGCACGCGAAGAGCCCAAATTTGTGCTCGAGGCTGTGGTCCGAGTTGGACATTGTGCCCATGTTGGTCACGTCCAACCCACTTGTCCAGGCTGGCAACCCGCGGGCAAGAGCTCAACGAGTGGACGAGGTTGCCGACTCGGCAGCAAGGAAGTGTCTTGCGTAAGTTATAGCCCTCTCACCGCCGGTGACTCAGCAATAACTTTGGTCAGGCTATATGCTCCAACAAAGCAACCGCGTTTGTCGATTAGCTTCCAGAACCAGGTCGAGGTCGATCTAGGTGGAACTATTCAGCTCACCACCATCGACGACTACAAAGCATCCGTCCGGGAGCCGACCTGGCGCGCTGTGCAGAAACACATCAAAGATGTGGTCGACCGCAAACTCAGAGTTGTTTTCTTCAGCGCGACACCTCAGGGAGGCGGAGTTGCCTTGATGCGGCACGCTCTGCTCCGATTCCTGAGACTCTACAATGTGAATGTCGAGTGGTACGTCCTGACCCTATCTCTTCTGTTGACGAGCGCTGTTCTTACCGTGGATTTTATCTAGGTTTGTGCCCAAACCCAGACCCGACGTTTTCCGAATCACCAAAACAAACCACAATATCCTACAGGGTGCTGTACCTCCCGAAATCCGAACAACGGATGAGCAGTTGATCAAGATCAAAGAGTGGATCGTTGACAATGCGGAACGATATTGGCTCGGCGAAGGAGGACCACTTCTTGCGCCCAAGGATGGTGGTGCGGATGTCATCATCATCGACGACCCTCAGATGCCTGAGCTCATCCCCATTGCCAAAAAGATGGCGCCAGACCGACCGATCATCTTCCGATGCCATATCGAAGTCAGAGACGACCTAGTACTTGAGAACGGAAGTGCCGCACAGCATGTTTGGCGCAATATGTGGTCAAGCATTCAACACGCCGACGTCTTTCTGAGCCATCCGGTTCGGTCATTTGTTCCCCCTGATGTTCGCAAAGAGACCTTGGGCTGGCTCCCGGCAACCACCGACTGGTGAGTATATTATCGAGCACTGAGCTTTTTCGACAAATCTGACCGATACCATCTAGGCTTGACGGTCTCAACAAACACATGGACGACTGGGATTTGCAGTATTACTTGCACGTTCTCCGGCAGGTTTGTCAAGCTCAGAGCCTTCCGCAGCTTGCATACCCAGCACGGGGATACTTCACACAAGTTGCGCGGTTTGACCCTTCCAAGGGAATTCCCGATGTCATCAGGAGCTACGCCAAGTTCCGCCATATGGTGCAAGACAGACCTTTGGAGCAAATCCACCAGTTGGTGCTCTGTGGACATGGTTCTGTGGACGACCCTGACGCGACGCTGATCTATGAGCAGACCATGGACTTGATTCTCACCGAATTTCCCGATTTGGTCGAAGATATCATTGTTGTGCGTCTGGGCCCAAGTGACCAGATCTTGAACGCCATCATGTCACTTTGCACTGTCGCCCTCCAGCTATCAACCCGCGAAGGATTCGAGGTCAAGGTGTCAGAGGCCTTGCACAAGGTGAATCATATGTGGTATGCTATTCTGGAGTATTGCTAACATGCCGATAGGGAAAACCAATCATTGCGACCCTCGCTGGAGGCATTCCACTTCAAGTCGAAGACGGTAAGAGCGGTTACCTTGTCCAACGTGGCGACCACGACGCCGTTGCGAAGCATCTATACAATCTGGTCAATGACAGGGAACTGTATGGTCGCATGAGCGAATACGCGCGGACACATGTCAGTGACGAAGTGCACACGGTTGGAAACGCCCTCAGCTGGATGTACCTCGCTTCAAGCGTTGCGGGCGGAAAGTCATTCCAACCAAACGAGAGATGGATCAACGATTTGGCCCGGGAAGCAGCTGGAGAGCCATACAAAGATGACGAGCCGCAGTTACCACGACACCTCTCCACCTGATGGACGAGTCGATGTTCTGGGGATGGGCGGGCGTTACGGGCGTGCCTTTCAATTTTCCCTTTATCATCTCCTCACTCATTCAACTTTCACGTTCTGAGACAGAATGCAATAATTTCCTCATTTCGCCAACCGGATGGTAGGTGGAGGCAAATACATTGGGCTTTGCAAGTCCCTCTGAGAGAACAAGAGCAAGAATAGAGAGCACAAGAGAAAGAAGAGCAAGATCTAGAGAAGACAAGAGATTAAGAGAAAGAGATAGAGCGGACAACGAGGCCTGGGAGCATTGGTAGGCTTCTCGATACACGGTGCAGTTCAAGCCTGCTGGGACCTGATACATCCGAGTCGAATGGCGATCGACGGGGCCACAATGATCCTCGTTGTGGTGACATACTCAGATTATGGGCCAATGATACACTTATGTACAAACACGTGGTAGAAATTATATAGTATGAGTAACTGCTCAGCAATCCCCCTCTGCAGCCTTTGCTAGTTGTGGACATGTACTGGTACTTACTTGTCCACATGTCAATTCTTTCTTCCGGTTCAGCCGGCCCATTGATCAATGTTCCAATGTTCTGCGTCTCTCAGCAGATGTTAAACTTGCCCCGCGTTTCCTCTGTTTTTTGTTTAGTTCTGTTCCTCCCGCACTGAAACCACCCCTTCGTTTGCAAAAGACGGTACGCTACGATTGCCGACTAAATCTTAGAATTATAGCCTATATTCCCGTCCAAGCCAGCGGCAACAATGTATCGCAAGCGCAACGGATCTCTTGGCTTCTCCTTCACGCGCTTCGCCCATGCCGCCGTTCCTAATTTCTTCGCAGATGAGACCCCTACCCGCATAGGTGACCTGACGGGCTACCGTCGGGACATGTGCTACATGCACCAGATCGCCTCTGCGAACCCCTACGTGCTTGATGAGCGATCCTTCTACGTCGCCGGCGTCGTCGACTCCGAGAGCGTGAGCAAGAAAGTCTACGCCAAGCTGAAAAAGAACGAGATCTTGATGGAGGACGGACTGGTGGACACGCACAGGATCGGGCCCAAGTTCCCTCACCAGCTGGCCCTGTTGAATATCTATAGGCAGAAGGAACTGGTCGGGATGCTGTTCTGGTGGGAGGAAGAGTGCCAGCGTCTGCGCAAGTTGGACGGCGAGGAGAAGGAGCTCGACGGCCTGATCTCCGAGTCGGAGGTGAAGTTGACCAGCACGGACGAAGATGGCGCAGAGAGACAGGCCGTGAAGCAGACTCTAGACCAGCTGAAGTTCGCGAGGGAGCGGGTCAGGATGAAGCGGAGACAGAGACCCAGTCAGCGAGATCCAGATGTCGAGGCGGACAAGGACGATATCATGATGGCCTTTCACGGACGGAGCAAGAGTGTCCCGAACGTTGGTGTCGGCGGGGTGGTCGCTGGTCCGGTCGCGCCGATACAACGGGGGCAACCGCCGCAGTATTTTCCTGGTTCTTGAAGAAATCTTCAAGATGTTGATTAATGACGCCGTTCGACCTTGGCACGCACGCCGTCTCCACCTGGTACGAAGAGTATGGAAATTCGAAACATGGCCCGCACTTCCCAATCGGTGGTAACAGCGACCTTTGTCCCGGCAGATCCGAGAGGCTGAAGGAGTTCCCTGGCCCAAATGAGTTATGTATCCCGGATCCCTGGCGACCTTACTATGGTTGTGCTGCTCTGTCCGACGACAATAACAAGCCGCGGCACGAATATTGTGGTTCGATGCTTGTGGTGATGCTTCGAAGGAGATGGGGTGGTCTCGCTTCAAAATCAGGCGGAAGTCGTTGTCTGGATCGATCAGAGAGCAGAAGATGCTCCTCCTACAAACCTCACATTTCACCTGGTCAGTGATTTCGACATGCGAGGTTATATGAAACTCTTCAGTTCTCTGATTGACTCCGTCGCTCAGGCTTCTAAAGGGGGCAAAAGAACGTCCGCCGTGAACAACTCCCTGCACGAAGAATCCTCGAGATGGCATTCACCATGTGCGTCGACGGGACCTGAAGCGACAGATACCAGGGCTTCGGTGACAACAAAGGCACGCAATGCAGCTGGCAGTAGCTCAATGTCTCCAGTGAAACCGAGTCTCGATGCAGCTCTGAGACCGAGTCCTGGTTCACACGCTCCGACAGTCGGGCATACTTTAAGCGCAAGCAGCGTCTGTCGAGCCGCCACTCTTCCTCTCGATCTACTTCCCTTTACAGAACTATAATCCAGTCCACAAAGCGAATTAGCTCGACCCAGAGCATCGAAGAAGTCTCACGGCCAAAGCGAAATTGAAGATAGACTGATTACAGTTTTATAGAGAAGACACAGCATATTCGGGGCATGTTTGGACCACCAGTGGGGATTGTATCCTCGAATCAATGAATTTTATTGACGACCAGCTAATAATTGCAACACCTCGCCCTTGCCCGCTCACTCCGATCTGAAGATACCTCTCTTAGGGCGGCAACTTCGTGGTGGGATTCAGGTACGGTCCGAGGTAGATATGGTCATCGGCCCAGTCCATCAGCTTGTCCCAATCGCCACAGACGTGGGTGTTGTTCGCGCTGAAGGGGCCCAGAATGCCCTCGAAGCGCCGCTCCAGCGTCGGGTCCGCGTAGCACATGACCGACTGTCGCAGGTACTCGGTGCAGTGGAACATGTGGTCGGCGGTCAACTCGTCGGGCACGATGCCGCGGACCGAATAGTCAACAGCCCACTGGAGGAGCCACTGTCAAAACAATCAAGGTTAGCAAACATGATGATACAACCATCAAAGGTGTGCTAGGAAAGCATCGGCGGATTAACGGGACAAGACATACCACGCAGTGCAGTTGATGGTATCCGGCAACGCCGTAAAACTCGCCGGGCATGCTGTCGAATGCCACGCGCCCGTGACGTGCTCGATGTAGGATCTCGTGCCACGCAGGGTAGGCCTTTTCCTTGGACCCCATGAACGACTCGTTGCGCTGGAAGAGGACCGTCTTTTTCGTGACTGGAAAGAATCGAAAATGTTAGCGGGGCCAACACCATATAACGAGCACTCTGCAGGTTACTGGATTTACCGAAGAGGAAAGAGGAAAGCGGATGGTGGAGTCTCGACAAAACCCAGAAACGCAGGCAAACATACATTCAGGTCCTAGGATCGGAGGCATCACGCCTGGCGTGTGGATGACTTCAGCCTTGGCCTCGGGGACATGGCGAAAGACGTCCTTGGGCGTGACGCTGAGCTTGACCACGGCGATGGTCAGCGCGGCGCACAGGATCGAGAGCACGCCGATACACCCCAGCAGCAGTCGCTGGGTCCTGTGGGCGCGGTGGTCGCGCATCAGATAGCCGCCGCTGGCGTCATCTTCCTCGTCGTCATCGCCGCCCGCGTGCTTGCGCCGCAGGAGGTTCGCCAGGGCCGAGGACGCAGGGTGGAGGGTGTGGTGCCGGCGCGGCTTCTCGTTTATGAGAGAAGAGGAATCCAGCGATGAGGGCGACGAGGGAGAGAGATGCTGCTTGACGAGCGTGTCGTCGGAAGATCTGGGTGAGTACTCTGACGGTGGCATTTGGAGTCCCGAACCAACAAAGGGAGGTATAGTTGAAGGAGGTCCAGTCCGTCAGCAGCCACAAGGTTGGAGAAGCGGGAAGACAGCGACAGAAATATGGGGAGAGGAGATAGAGGAAGAGAGAGAGAAAGAGATGGAGAGAAAAGGCTCGGGTAGAGGAGGGTATATGTGCTGACAAAACGTGGGACGTGGCGGACTGGAAGTCAGTGGGGGATACGGGTTTTCTATACAGACCGCCCAGTTGTCTGACATGGACGGCAATGGAACATGGAGCGTGAGGGATATGATTGCGTGGAAGGAATCATCATGAGACCTGCCTCGAGCTGATACGGGCATTTATGGAGCATACATTCATCTATATTGGGAGGTTTCCTCCCTCCCTGTCTCCCACTTCCGGGGCCTACGAACATGTACAGCCAGCAAATCCCTCCCGCTCGCTACTGCTACCTCTTAATAGTACGTTACTACGTTGTACTTTACGTTATTAACCCCTTTTTAGCCAGCTCGTCAGGCTTTCTACTTCACCGAGCGGACAGATTTCCCTTGGTTTGTTCTACGTTATGAGAGGCCTCCCCAGGACTGCTTGACAGGAAAAGTGGGGGGTCTGGGTCAATGGAATGCAATGGATATATCTACCTATCGATCTGCCTACTTACCCAAAGGACATGGATAGGTAGGTATGTAGGTATTTGCTTGCCAATCGCATGGATCCTTTTTTTCCCCACCCAATCCACACACACATCCAAAGCACAGAGACACAGAGGTTGATTCGTTAACATCTGTGGTTCAATGATTGTCCTGTTGCTGTTACTGTTCTTCTGAGAGCCAGAACAGAGTTCCCCTTCGCGTTCGCTGTGTCATCCGTCGTTGTCTCTCTCCGAATACTTCCGTCTCCCCCCTCGTCTCTCATCTCTCAACCATGCGAGCAAAACCGGAGCCAGAGCTCTGTATGAGAGGCCTAGCTCTACCTCTAGCGGCGTTTGGCAGTTGCGTGGTAGATGTCCATTTCCGGAGAGCGCTTTGCCGTAGCGTGGTAAATATCCATCTCCGGGGATCGTTTCGCTGTCGCGTGGTAGATGTCCATCTCTGGTGCTGGGGAGCGCTTAGCGGTAGCATGGTAGATGTCCATTTCTGGGGAGCGCTTTGCGGTCGCGTGGTAAATGTCCATCTCAGGCTTGGGGGAACGCTTTGCCGTAGCATGGTAAATGTCCATCTCCGGTGAGCGTTTAGCGGTGGCGTGATAGATGTCCATCTCTGGAGAACGCTTAGCAGTGGCATGGTAAATGTCCATTTCTGGTGAGCGTTTGGAGCGTTTGGCCGTAGCGTGATAAATGTCCATCTCGGGAGACCGCTTGGCTGTCGCGTGGTAGATATCCATTTCCGGAGATCTCTTTGCAGTAGCATGATAGATGTCCATCTCCGGGGATCTCTTTGCAGTAGCATGGTAGATGTCCATCTCGGGAGACCGCTTCGCAGCTCCCATGAGCGCCGCAGTGCGAGCCTCTAACACCCTCTGTCAGCACCCCATCCACAATCAACGCTCAAAACACTTACTCAAGGCATCCGGAGCCGGGGCTGTCGGCAAGGCCGAGGCCGATGCCGCAAGCAGCGTCAGGAGGGAGGTGACTTGCAAGAACTTCATGGTTGCTTGATGCGAGAATTCAACGAGACTGGTAGAGACTTGGGAGAAGAGAAGGTCCAAAAAATCTCAAGAGGCACGGGGTCGAGGTCCTCGTTTATATACCCCCTTCGGCGAGTGCAGTGTCGATTCTTGCAAAGCCTGACCTCTCGGACCATCGGCGATTGTTCGTCATACGGGTGGCCCCGCCACCGTGTAGAACCCATGGTTGATTGACGAGCATTTCCTGTTCTTGTCCTCTGGAAGATTCTCGCGTCCGTGTGGCAAGGTATCATTACACCCCATGCCCGGGTCAGGGCATTGGCCGTCGCTGGTCATCTCGGTGGATCGACGGAGCTGCGGTGCTTGTGATACCGGTATCAAGGAGGGTCGCATGCGTTATGTACAGAAGCTGACCATGAGCTGAGAACGAGTGGCCACGCATATGCCCTTTGTGATGGAACAACATTCGTACCTCCTGGTTCGGGCAGGCGTGCAGAATTACCCGGTTCAATCCACGTCGTATACAACATGAACCCATGTCGACATAGCCTGGCTCGAAATGTGTCTCACCGAGGTCAAAAGGAGCTCCGCGCGCCAATGAACCACTCCATGTCATGCCTCTTGTCTGAATAGAGAGTCAGAATATGGAAAGTACTGAACATATCAGGACTAGACTCAGTTGATCAAGTGCACGGCGTGGAACGGTATTGGCCCAGCTCGGCAATCTAGCAGGTCACTTCAGCGACCAAACAACTGTTAAGCTCACACAAGCCTTGCCTCTCCACACTCTGTGAGGGGCCACAGGTGGTGCAGATCCCGGTGGATTGCACAAAAGGACCACAAATCTTCAGTCGATCACTAAGTTATGGTGACACGGGCTTAGCTGAGCCAGGCTAGCAGCAGCACATATCCAGGAACTCTGGGTGTATGCTTTGCATTAGTTGATGCAACGCAGAAGACGTGTACTCTCGAAGCACCGCTATCGTTGCTCAACCGTCGATGCAGTGCTACCTTCGACTCCATGTCTGCGGGAAGAGCCTCAAGGACGCAGCCGAGGAGTCTCGAGGTGGCGGTGAGATTGCAGCTTGTCTGGTCGAGGGCCGATGGACTGCCTTACCATTCAATGGTTATTTAGGGGGCCTTGTAATGTGTTTCTCAATCATCAAGCATTTCATTGTACGATGCACAGCTGTGCATCTCCACAGGAAGGATTGTGGGGAACTTCTCTTGAGACTGAAGCTCTTGGGGTTGATTGGGAGAAGAACTTGTGGATCGAGACAGCAATGCCAAATCAAGGGAATGAGCGGCGAGTAAAGGCATGGATTGGTGGGAAAGTCGCTTACAGCTAAGAGTCAGCATTTCCCCTAAACCATTGGCTTATTCTGTGTATCTGTGTCCTTGTCCTTGCAGGCGAATAAGTCACAGCTGCTTTATGCGAGACCTTAAACTCTTATAGGAAGGTGAGATTTGAATAGATGAGGCACGTCCCGGTGACATCTCCCGAAGCCCATGTCCACCAGATTACGAACGGAGGAGAGCGATACGATATTAGGGCGGTTGCGGCCCCAAGGGGGCAAAGGGCACGCGAGCAGCTGACGAAACCAAGTGGGTTCCAGGTTCCACTATTTAAAGGTTCTTTGGACCGACCATCATCCTTCGACTGTCGAGACACGTACCTTGATTGGAAAGCGTCATGATCCATCTCCATCTCGTACCACCTTGCTATCTCGCACCCCAAACCTCGTCGGATTCTCAGCTTGATGCTGGCAGATCGCCTCTGAAAGAATCGACCACGCATGAAATGTGCATGGAGGGCCTGACCCATACCTCGATACAACCGATGTTTTTGGGGCTGATATGATCCTAACATGGCGAGGATGTACACAGCTGACCCGTTGTCACATACACACCGACAACATACGACATACGACATGCTCCTCGGTGGAGTTGGGACGCCATAAAGCAACGACGCATGGACCCGACCCATCAGGTTTGACTCGCACACATATGGACTCTTCACCCAATATCAGTTTTGCCGCCATTACCTCAGAGACATGGTCATCTCCAGCCTGAATCGACGATGGACAGACACGGGGAGGATCGTGCTCGATCTCCTCCTTGCCATTGTCCTCCTGAGCTTGATTTGCTGCTGTTCTGCAGGGCCCACGTCTCCTCGGTGCTGGCTCGACTACTCCCAGGTTCCTTACACAATACTCCCATGGAGCCTGGAGTCTGACTATGGGGCACCTGTGAAAGAACTTGGTACTGGCTCATCGGGTTCTGTTCTTTTGCTCCTGCGTCACGCGGACAATGCTACGGTGGCGGTCAAGCGATTCCACAACGCGGCCGCAGATCGACCTGACCTTTTGACACAAAGAGTAAAGCTCGAGTATCACCTGGGATCCCTCGTCAATGGCCATCCTGGCATCTCCGAGAGCATTGAGCTGCTGTGGGAGACCCGTTCGTCGACATGGTTTCTGGTGACCGAGTTCTGCCCGCGGAGTCTGGCCAAGGAACGTCGCTCGACAAGTCCGAGGTCTCTGACAAAATTGTTCCGGGACATCGTTCAGGCCGTCGAGCGTTTACACGCTCTGGATATAGCGCATGGGGACCTCAAGCTGGAGAATGTCCTCTTGACGGCGGACGGGAGGCCCAAACTGATCGACTTTGGCGCCGCCACTTTCTCCCACTGTCCCACGGAATCTTCCGACGCAGCAGACTGGGTCAACGTCGTGCCCGGAGACTATGGCACCACGGCTTACATGCCTCCCGACGTCTTCACCCGGCTCGAGTTCGACAAGGCAAAAGCCGACGTGTGGGCCCTCGGCATTCTATTCTACGCCATGATTACGGGATCGGTTCCGTGGTCGTCGGCCTCGATCGACGACCCAGACTACCAGGCCTATGTGACACCACAGAGGTCAGATGACAGGCTCAAAGACCATTGCCCCGATTGGGACGCATGCACGATGCGGTTTCCCACCTGTTCCATCGGAGCGTTTCATCTGCTGCAGAGACTGCCGCCCAACACAAGGGACGTGATTGCCTCGATGTTGGCGCCAGAGCCACCAGAGCGACCTCGTCTCCGAACAGTGTTGGAGTCTATGTCGTCCTGGTGAGCAAAGACACGTTGAATAAATACTACAGTGGCGAAACCCGGACTCTAGACCACGACACCGCCACGAACCAATGGACCCAGAGTGAGGCCGACAGGGACAGGGACAAGGAGTCGTAATATAACCCAGTCTTGCCAGTCTCTAGAAACGAAAATCTAATTGGTTCGAGCGAGGAGCAACGACCAGAAAAGAGTCAAGCTCAGGTTTGCGAAGGAATGAAGGAATTGCTTATGGAAGCAAATCCTTGGAGGAGGTCGAGACGGATGGTACTTTACCCGCCCACATGCCCACATAGCCATACGGCCGTACTTTGTCAATGCTGGAGTTATGTCAGACGCAGAATAAAGAGGCGGTCTGAGGCGGCCTGACAGCTTGAACTCTGTATAATAAATGCTGTGTCGTTTACTTTTTCTGTCTGTCTGTCTGCCTGCCTGTCTGCCTGCCTGTCTGCCTGACTATATATAATACTCACCCTTTCCTCTACCTGGCTGGTTCAATGATTGACTGACTGACTGACTGAACGAGTGATTTACCACGTGTCCCGTCCCCGCACGCATCTAGACCGACCGCTGTTAACAAACAGGTGTTTGCCAATCCTTTCCCAGAAGTTCGCGGGGGAAAACGGATCCGTCTCGGGTGGTCGGGATGCATTTGAGGAAAAACCTATATGATTCTTCAATCTTTCTTGTCCAACACCAGTCAAACATTAGGTCTTGTTTGGGGGTTGACCAAAACGGCGAACAATTTAAATCACGGTGATGAACAAACAACCATGGTATGGTATGGCGGACAGATACCCCAACCCTGATAGATCGAGTCTCGGTCCTTGGTACGGGATTTGATACCATTTCTTCTGATAGAGGATGGAGCCACCTTGGAATATGCTGTACGCAGACGTCAGACGGCAGACAGCAGACAAATATAAGGACGTGCGGGGACCTCCAGTCCTTGTGAGATTGGTCCTGCTCACTTGGCAAGGGATTAATACCAGACTCGCGAACCAGTTCACGGGAAGTGCCTCAGTAAAAGCTCAATAGTCCATCATGTATCCAGGATTCATCCAGGGTGATCTAGCATCTATGCTAGCGACAACGAGGCGTCATATATACAGCTTCCTCATTGCAGGCTATGGTTATGGTGATCAAGAATCGAGAACGTCCAGGGATGCCTGCCTGCTTGTTTTGTTCTCATCCAGCAGAGAGACAGGTAGGCAGGCGGACAGGCAGGCAACGCCAAAAAAAATACCTACAAAGGAAGAGTTAATGACGGTCATTATTTGTTGTTGTATCCTCCGAGGTCTTTTTGACGCCCTTACCCCCCTTTTTGCCCTTCTCCACTGGACTTCACGTGGATGGATCGAGATATAATCTCACAACTGGCAACGTGCCCCTTCGTAAGCGATGGGAAAGTAATGTGCAGTACAGTTCCCGTTTTGCCTGACCTCGGAACTCTCCCGCGTAAGCGACCACGATTCCGCCGCCCCCCGTCCCGTCAGCCCTGGAACACCTTCTCCACAGCCTCCCAATCCATGGCTTGTTGTTGCTTGAATTTCTCAACCTCGGTCTCTTCTTCGAGCTCGGTGGTCGGGTGTACCGTGCAGCCACCTTCGAGCACCAACCAAGCGTCGGCGTCTTCGAGGCCGGCTCCCTCCGTGTGCCCGAAGGAGATGTTGTCCCAGTCCACGTTGGCAAGGTGGACCGTGTGTTGATTGATAAAGAACCACGGATTGGGATCGTCGGATCGACCCCCCTTCGTGATATGATGTGCGTGGAGGTGTTCGACCGCTGTGGCGATCTGTCCCCGCCACTTTTCGGCATGACTCGAAAGGCTGAATGGGTGATCCTCGTTGCTGGACATCTTCATAACTTCTGCCAGGGTCTTCGCACCTGACACATAGTTCAACAGGATCCCGGCACAAAGTGGCTCCTTTTCTTCTGACAACTTGGCTAGTCCCTCCTCCTGCGGTGGAGGTGTAGTGATTTCACCGGGGCTTGAAAGTGCGTGGCTGACGACGATTCCCTGCAGTCTTGGAATGTTGATTCTCTTCGCCGCACCCTGGGACGCCTCCTCGCCCGACTGAGTCGACTCTGCGTTATGAAGCCGTGAGTACGCATTGATGATGTCAACGGAACTGTTCGTGATCTGTCCGGTCCTGGCTTGTCGTACGGGTTGATTGCAGGGCCGGAAGTAAACCACATCCCCACCCGGCACACGTACCTTGTGCGGTGGGCAGCGCCAGTTCTTTTCTTGGCCGAGGACGACGAGATCCTCGGCTGGGTATCGAGGGGCATCTTCGGGGAAGGAGCTAAATTCAGAGAATTTGATGAGGTTGTGTTCGTACGAGGGTCGGTCCTTCGGCCCTTCGGTGACTTCGGGCACAACATGCGCAGCTTGCTCGTCAGCGATCAGCTTCAACTCATACGTCGGCGTTTGCAGGTAATCGTGCAAGGTTGTCCATTTATGCGAGCTGGGAGCCAGGGTTTCCAGCAAAGGCAAGCACGGGGTGATGACACAATCGCACAGCGACTCCCATCGGCGGATCCAGCCTTTCGGTTCGTCATCGTGCACATCCTTCTTCTTAATGAGTTCGAGCCATTTCTCTGCGAAAGGTGTTCCTGCGACATCTTCCCCCGAGACGTGGACCCTGAAACAGACGCCGTTGCGGTAGAAGAGCGTCTGCGACTTGGGCTCTTTGTCATCGTGCATGCCATAACGCACGATGTGGGGGATAGAGTCGAAGAAGCGGACAGTGGACATGGAGGGGTTTCAGAAGAAGAAGGTCCTAACACTTTTCTTGGGTACGGCAGGCTTGGTAAGAAGGATGGCGGTTTATTTTGGAGGTAGGAAGTAGCCATTCGTTACAGGAGAAGCCGGAGGGGAGGGGCGAGGCTGCAAACGAAAGAATTACGATGCCGATGGTAGTGACGTCGAGACGTCTAGTTTCCATATGGCTAATGCTCGGCTGTAGCCTGATCCGTCGATCTACGGCGTAGCAGTCCATTTCGGGGGTTTAAAACTGCTGCTTTTAGGGAAGTGAAGAGGGTGGAGAGGAAGTAGATATCTGGTTCGACGAAAGGGAGTTCTCATTCAAGTAGAGGACGCGATGCCCTTGCAGAGAACTTGTAATCATCACCACGCTTTTGACTCTATTGCTGAGTCCTGTTGTTGGGGGCTCAGCCGCCTTGACACAAAGGGCTAGACGACATTGGACCATGATGTTCCATAGTCCAGCCCGCTACCTCATCCCGCTCAGCGCGCGTAACCACGCTCGGCAAGGTCGAACAGCCCGCATCGTGCACACTGCGCGCGATCCGAAACTGATTTCCCGACGCGATCGTCTCGAAGAGCGCCTTCACCCGCGCGCTGTCCTCGGGCGTCTTCCTCACCTCCCACCTCACCACGTTCAGCGGGAAGATGAGTCTTTGTCGCGCATGCTCGAACCCGGCACCGAGACAGCGGTGGACAAGTCGAATAACGAGCTTTGATAAGTCCCGTCGGCGTGATGTGTCCGTGTGCGCGGAAATCTCTGCTCGAAGATCTGGACGCCGCTCGAAAATGTCGGTAGGGCATTGGTCGATCAGGGCGACGGCGAATATGGAGAATGATAGCTCCAGGGCGAGGAGAAGGGCCAAGTCAAAGGCAGAGCCTGTTTCGATGGGCTTGCTGGACGATGGGTCACGTAAGCCACGTCTGTTGGAGTGATCGTGTTCTCTTTGGAAGGCCATGAGTTCTTCCCTGAGGGTTCCCATGCCAGAGTAGCAGTCCCTGATCTTTTCAAAGATCTGGAGGATGACACCCCGATCGAAGCACCGACAAGCCTCCTCGCCCCTACGGAAGAGATTGGCCAGCGTGAACCCATAGTCGTAGAGCTGCTGTTCGAAATCCTTGGGCGTCTCGGTCCACGGCTGCATCAGCCAGTCCGAGCCGCCGAGAAAGGACGACTCCTTCGTTGTGAGACAGACGACCATGGCGTTGTACCGCATCGACTCGAGGATAGATTTGGGGAGCGGGTCACAATGACATTTGGGGCCTCGGAGCTGGATGATTCGTGCGATGCCCTTGATGTGGTTCTGCCAGGCGCCCATGTCCCCCGAGGTCGACTCGAAGGATTCATACAAGACCATGCAGCGGGCTGCCGCGAGGGTGTCGTCGCTCCGCATGAGCTGTGGGTCGTACAAGGCGGTTTGCATCGATCGGAGAGCCTGGCAGTATAGCTCCTGGCCCTTTGTCAGTAGGACTTGGTTATTCTGAAGTCTGCCCGTCCTCGTGTATGCGAGAGAGAGAAGAGCGAGTCTCAAGGTCGTCGTTGGTGTCGTGATGCAGAGCGAATGGTACAGCCAGGCCGGTTCCCTCACTCTAGAAGACCGCGTCGGGTCTGCCGAGTAGCGGTCCCAGAAGGAGGATACCAGCTGAGCGTCGTTGAGTTGGGTAGAAGATGGCCTGGAGAGGAGTATCGTGTTGGGATCCTGCACTGTAGGTTGTGATGTGGTAGTAGTAGTGGTTGGTCGTGCTTCTTCGAGGGGCCGTCGTCTCTGGAGCCCCGTTTGGTCCCGAATGATAAAGACTGGGTATCGGTCATAGCCTTCGCATTGTTTTTGTGAGGCGATACATCTCCGACATTGAGGTTTTGTCCCGTCACACTGACTTCATTAGATGGCGTAGACGATAACAGCGACGGGCCCACGTACGTACCTTGACCTTTCTCCTTCTGCATGTGTTACAGCCTTGCGACTTTCCTGGTATGCCAACCATTTCTCTCTCGGGCAATTCGTCCTTCTACATACACCTGGATGTTGCGATGTCTTGTGGCATATGTCAGCTGTACGAGGTAGACTGATCGAGTCGCATCTAACTTTGGCAGGGAAGGGGCGTGGCTTAGCTGACGTTAAGTTTTCTCCGTTCCAATGAATGCCATATGGGACATGTACGAGTACCTCAGGCACCAAAGGCACCACCATCAAAAGGGTAAATATATCTACATCGGCTGCCGTGGGATTCTAGGCTCCAGCCTTTTTTCAATACTGTGAGCCTTTGGCCCTCGCGACTTCGATTTCAACAATGGTCTCAGATAACCCATGCTCTTACACTCCCGGTGCAGGGGGCAGGAGTGGAAACACGATAGGGAGTGAAAACCTCATATGTCTAACATTGTATTTCCAGGATGAAATTTGTCGCAGGAACCGTTTAATAAGATCCGTTGACTGTATGTACAAGATACCGACTGAATATGATGTCTTTGCTTCGGAGTATATCTCGTCGTTTCCACCCAGAAGAATGCTGGAAACGAAGATATCAAGAAACCCATAGGACTCAATACTCCGAGTACGGGGACTGCGAACCCTTTTTACCAAGATCTATTACCCTTTCCTTGAGTGATGCACATTCGCACGCAGTCAAAACACCCGTCTAGCGTCACATAATCAACCGCCTGGTCCTCGAAGCGCCCCATCTGTCCATCCGTATGAACTCCAGAGATTTGCATTTGGGGCCAACACCTCCTTAATATCTCCTTACACGCACTCGACCTATTCTGGCGAGTCACTGGCTGACCTGACGGTGGGAGAGATGCGCTTTTCGGCCATGCCCTCGTCGTCCGGGATGAGTTGTTCGTGGCCGGTCTTGAAGACGAAGCCCGGGTGGGCGGGGATGAGGCAGAAGGAGGCGAGGATGATCATCCTATTTTTTTCATCCATGGTCAGTTACGGGAGACAGGGACAGAAGGGTACAGAAATAGCTCGGAGAGTAACTCACACAGACTCAAAGACAATAAACAGCGTCTGATCCCTCAACGCGTCGCTGTCGCGCGAATACCCCCCGCTCAGCTCGTAGACGCGGTAGCAGCAACGGATGAGGATCAGGACCGTCGCCGCGGACAGGAACCCGCAGAAGACGACGAAGCGCCGGGGCAGGAGGGGGACGGACATCCACACGGCGCGGCTGCGGATGGCGTAGTCGAGGGCCAGCACCACGAACGCTGCGAGTGTGAAGACCTGGAACCCCAATCCCGCGAGGGCGATGTCGACGCCGGACTGGGATCCGCCGTCCGATGACGACGACAGGCCCCCGCCTGCGGCCTGGAGGGCCAGGCTGATGATGTCGCAGGGGATGAAGATCCAGTAGAAGTATTTGGGGGCGAAGCGCGAGGATGAGAGGGAGATGTACTTGACGCTGTTGAGGCAGGCAGGTCAGCAACAAAGCTAGGGAAGCAAAACGCTGGGTAGGTAGTATTAGTGGGAATCCTTACATTTGAGCAAGCAGCACGTAGATGGCGGCACAGAAGAAGACAGGCCCGATGGTGATCAAGACTGTTTTTCCTTTTCGTTAGACACAAAAACCCCGACCAGGAGACAGTAGGGGGAGGAAGGCTTTACCAATCTGGATAATAAACCCAGGCTGTGCCCACGGGTTCTGCCAGTACAAGATCCGCCCGACGTATCCGATGATCTCGTCGACGCAGCCCAGCACCATGAGACTCATGAACCCCCATGCCCGGTACCGCCATCCCAGGAGCACCTGGGCGATGATGCAGAGGCTGTACAGGGCGATGAGGGCGCCGCTGGCACCAAGCGACGGTCGGTAGCCGTAGACGCTCATGTCGATCGGGCACACGGACACGGTGCAGTTGGCGTCATCGCCGCCGCCGATGTAGACGGTGCCGTCTGGCGTAATGAAGATTGGCTCGGTTGAGTTCACCATTGTGAGGAGATTGATATGGGGAGGAAAGAGTGTGTGTTCGTTCTCCTGTGTATATATGGCTCCGACTTGTGGCTGGACTCACTTAAAAGAGAGAAGAGAGAGCGAGAGAGATGTATGTGGTATGGATTGAAGAGTGCCTGATTGATGTGTTGGGTCGCCTTTGAAATGTTTCTTCCCGAGGTTTCTCGTGGCGAATATATAGACACTGGGGCATATATGTCCTATTTTCGGAGAGATACGTGGTGATTGACATATATACCCAGTATGGACATACCGATCGATGGCGGGCATCATGATACCTTGTCGTGCATTCAGTACCCGTGTCACCGTAGGATGAACGAACCGTCCTAAAGCCTGCGGTGCTTGCGATAAGGCCGTAGGGCTTGGGATCGTAGAACGGGAAACCCAAGGACCCAAAAGGACAGAAATACGCCCAATCGAGTTCGCGAATACGTCGAACAAGCTCAAGCTTCTCTCAAGGAGACACAGAAACGGGCCGGGCTGGATTGGGTTCCTGGTCTTGGGTTGTGCCAAGGGTTGAAGGGGGGCAGGGCAAGCCAGTGATCAGTGACTGACAACTACTTACTCGTGTTCCATACCTTTTCCATCTATTCCTTTTGGATGATGCCTAGATGAGAGCCAAACCGTGCCGCAGCAGTGGGTGATGGCTGGGGAATCATGAAAGGCTGTTGTATGTGCCCCCCTTTTTTAGTAGCGGCACATGGGAAGCCCGTGTTTCGCAGATCTCGTTTATTTCTAGAACCAATAACGCGTGTATATTGTGCGGGTCGTACGGATAGAGAGAGAGAACAACCAAGCTCACGCATTCCATGAAGATCCCGCAGAGTTTGAGTGTGAACAAGTGGAATACAGGCCATGTCTGGATACAAATGGGAAATGCCAGATGGAGCTCCACCCAAACGTCCGTAAGGCTCCGCCTCCCCGCTTCGTCCCAAGGGGCCCAAGGGGCCCAAGGGGCGCATCGCAAGTTGAATCCAAGAAACGGAAAAGCGCCAGTCACCGCCCCCCCACTTAAGCGAAATAACACGTCATGAAACTTGGGTGGATGAGCCCGCGGAGGTCGCTGACTGGAGATGGCAGGGGCTGGGAATGCGCGCCCTCAGCGTATGCTGACCGTTTACTGTTTGTCGGCTCCCGTAAAAGCGTAGAAGTAGCAGTTGTGGCAGCAGTCTGTGATGCAGTCATCGTCATGCATGGCAAAGGCAAGTCACTCTGCGAGAATGATTGATAAAGAATTCCTGGAACCTAATACACCTGGAATGTCATGACTTTTCTCCTGCATCAGGCCACCAACATCTGTCGTAGGTACCGATGGGCACATGGGCTAACAACACGCCGATTAACATGGGACCCGGAATGTTCCTGCGACTGGCTCAGCCGCTCGTTGAAACAGTCAAAAGTCATGAGGTCACCCGAAACAAAAACTACTCGAGACCCAAGCAGTGCCCATGCCGACATTCTTGAAGGATGGTTTTGTGTTGAGGCATTGCCGACGTATCAACAACATCGGACCACGTGAAGAGGTTGGACAAGGACCATCCATCTCCGTGCTTGAGCACGTACCCAGAGGCACCAGCGACAAACGACGACTTGGCGGCATCGTGGATTGGACCGACATGCCGACCGTCCGACCGTCCGACCTCGTCTCCGCGGAGGCATGGAGGGGTATATCAAGTATATATCCAGGTCACAGAGGGACGACAGGACACCCGTAGCAGCATATAATCACTATACGCAAAAGAATCGTCGACAACATGTCAGGGTCACTACCATCCGTAATGAGAGCATGGCAATATTCCAATACCAAAGGTGGACTCGAGAAGAACCTCCGCCTCAACGAGTCTGCCCCGGTACCCCAGCCCTCGTCTAACCAGCACCTCGTGCAAATATTAGCGACAGCACTCAACCCTGTCGACTTCAAACCTGCCGAGATTCGGCTTCTCAGTCACTTTGCTATTCCGAAGCCAGCAACTCCCGGCATTGATGTAAGAATTTTCTCCCGCAGCGTGCTTTGTCGCCAAAGACGCAGCACCTATTTATTCGCTGCACCCATCGCCGGGAAATGCTAACGAATACACAGTTCGCAGGCACATTGATTACCCCGGCTGCTGGATCGTCTCTGAAACCCGGCCAACTGGTCTTCGGAGCATCGGGGACATCACACTTGGCCGGCGGGAGCTTGGCTGAATACGCCGTCGCCAAGGAGGACCAAGTCGTGGCGATTCCAGAGGGCGTGGACCCAATATCTGCATCGACAGTCTGCGTCGCAGGACTGACAGCACACCAATCGATCGTCCCCTACGTCAAGGCGGGGGATAAGATCTTCATCAACGGCGGCTCCGGCGGGACCGGCGTCTTTGGCATCCAGATCGCAAAAGCCGTCGGGTGTCACGTCACGACAACCTGCTCCAGCGTCAACGTCGACCTCTGCAAAAGTCTCGGCGCCGACGCCGTCATCGACTACAGGACGCAGAACGTGGTGGACGCTCTGAAAGCGAGTGGGCACAAATTCGACCATGTCGTCGACAACATCGGCGCAAACTCTCAGCTGTACTGGAAATGCCACGAATACACCCGCCCCGGAGCCCTGTTCATGGTCGTCGGGGCACAGATCAATCGCGCCTTCATCCTGGATATGCTGTTGAGAAAGCTGTGGCCCGGCTTCCTGGGAGGCGGCAAGCGACAGTCTGTCGGGTTTTTTCCCAAGCCGAAACCATCGGATCTGGAACAGATTGCGACCTGGATGAAAGAGGGCAGAGTGAAGGCCGTGGTCGATGAGAAGTTCCCTTTTGAGCGGGCACCGCAGGCGATTGAGAAGTTGAAGACAGCGCGTGCAAAGGGGAAGATTGTGGTTGAGGTCGCCTCGAATGGCTCCAATTGAGATTTACATCTCGGTCCCGTCCCTCTTAATCTGTTGCAGGGGGCGTTGTATACTAATATAAGGACATCGCAGTCGATAATTGAGAGTATACCCGTATAGTGGGGTTAACGAATGTCATGTCGTCTTTCACATTCCTTGCTCGTGCTCGAGCTCGATCGCAGTTGAGCAGCAACTTCACGGCCACTTGGTACTGCCCCGTTCTATCAGGTCGCCATCGGGTTGTCCAGCCGTTGTTATTAGTCGAGGAAACGATCGAATCTGTTCTCAAACGATTGTGAATTCTCTGACGCCTCCATCGCGAAACAAGCGAAGACACTCTCTGTACCTATCCATCTCCATTCCGCCAAGATAGAAACATCCAACCCGGCGGTATGTTCCGCCGGGAAGACTCTCAAGCACCAGGCCTTTAATCGAGCCTTGATTCCTGCATCGACATTTAGAGTTGGCTTTGCCCGTTCTCCTATCTCCAGAAGCCACTATCAGAAACAGAACCGGCAAGGTGGCCTTGACCTCGAGGCTGAGGTCGGTGGGTGCTCGATCATGCTCCATTCTGGCGACATACTTCCCGTTAGCTTTGGAATCACGAATGGAAACCCGGGAGGCAAAGCGCGAACTTTCATGGTTGCTACCCCAAACAGTCTCGATGGCCGTGCCGGCTACGCGAAGGAAACCCGAGGACAGTGCGCCATATGGGGCGTGTTTGTACAGAGGTTCGAGGTGACAGTGCAGGACTCGGAAGTTTTCATCGAGGGTTCGTGCATGTACAGTGTCCACCCACGCATTCAACGACGCCCATGACCATGACGGCGCAATGTACTTGCTGTGAGGAGTCTCGGGTTCATGTTTCCAGTGTTCAATCCTGGTCCACATTAGCGAATGCGCGAGAGTGCTGCTCCAAAACCCAGCTTTGTAGTCGTCGTCGAGGATCGTGCCAAACTGTTTCGCGATACCGCCGAGGGCGAGGAGTCTGTCTTCAGCAACGCCGATGGTACGCGCAGTGTACTGCTGGACAATGTCGCTCCAGAGGTCGCGAAAGGCCGTCATTGGCGGCTTCGTCAGTTTCCCATCTTTTGATTTCTCGTACAGCTCCGAAATATGCTTCGACTTCAAGTCATCGCGTACCGTGTTTAGAGTATTTAGGCCATCCCAGCCATCGGTGAAGGCATATCGGTCACTCTCGACAGATTGGCAGCAAATCCAGCGAGTGTTGACCGCTCCAAAGTCGAGAATCCGAGGAGACAGTAAACGCTCTTGGTATGCCCATGCTCTGAAATCCAACGGCTCATCGGGTCTATTGAAGTCGGGTCCGAGAACGATGGATCCAGTCTGACCATCTGCGAGACAATACGGTAGCTCAAAGAGCTCTCTGGATCCCGTAGGCCACGGATCTGGCCGATCCGCGAGAAAGCCGGCTTGCGCGGTCACAGCGCGAGAGGCTGCAACTGTGACGGTGGCGTTGGCGTAGACCTTATCCATGGTAGCAATTTCCGTCGCCTTATCGTGTTCGTCGTCTTGCAGAATGCACAAAGCGTCAATCCACAGCAGTGTCAGACCTAAGCTGTCCACGACTCGCACCACATCTTGCAGAGTTTGTGACAAGTCCTGCGCGTCGATACCAGCGGCGTGCCTGGCCAGGTTCGTCGACGAGGTCTTGAGGTTCTTGTCCGGTCCCCAGCAATATGAGAGAGCTGCGTACGCACCCGGAGAGATTTTATTTGAGTTACAGAGCTTGAGTCTGAATTTCCCGTTGATTTTTCCAATCTCGAGCAGCCTTGTGGGCATAAAGTGCGGGTCAGGACGACGGCAAGCCTGGTGCCTATCAAGACAAGTCGACATCCAGCTTTTGTACAAGTCAAATGCCGTATCTGATGCCGGGTAATGGTTGATTTCCAGGTTGGCAATCTTGCCAAGGGCAGAATTCCCTTCAGACGGTCAGCCTTGAGGTAGATATCTGCTTGGTGATGACATTACCTTTCCTTGTCATTGGAGAACAGGATGAATTCTCGAACTTCACAAAGGTCGGGTACGGTTGAGGCAGCCACCGCTCGTTCCTCGTTCTTTCCCATAACATTGCAGTTGCTGGCAGGTATTTTAGATCAGGAGAACACTCGTAGAGTGCACCAAACTCGATATGAACCGGGCACAAATAGTACTTTGTAACTTTGGCCGCAATCATGAACTTCTTGTTCGCCAACTCTGCGTCTTGAGCGGCTTGAGAGATCAGAAATGCGGCGAACGAACAGCCATCATCTGATGCTTTCTGCAGTTCTGCCGTTGAGATATAAAATGGAGACAGAGGCTCAAAATGGCTCATGTATGGAGCAGAGGGCGCTTTTGGGTCCAGACCGAGGAATTCTCGCACTCTGTCCTCGGTTCCCGCGACATCAGGGGTGATTGTTGCAAACGACTGGCAATGTCTGCAGGAATGAGGTAGGCGAGAGAAAGTGCTACTACTTATCATCTAGCCCTTTGAAACGCAAGTCCGGTCTGTGTCAAGAGCTGGCAAAGAATTTTCAGATGGAAGTGGTCTGGTGGCACCAAAGCTCTGGAGAAGTGGCGACTTGCTGCGATGGGGTTTTGGGATCTCGGCCGAGTCGAGCGTGGACAGAGCTGAGCAGAAGAAGTATGGCGAATGTGTCTGCAACAAGCGACGGCACAGTTCAGCTGGTAAAGGAGTGGTTGAAGGACGATGACAAGGCTGAAGGTAGAGAGCGGTGGACGGGCCGAGGCTGAAGCCACAGCCCTGAGCATTACATAAGCAGCACCACCAGATGTTCCCAAAATGGCTGCCTTGTCTTGGCGTATGGAATTCTGGCTGCGGTCAGCCTAATCGTCTTCCCTAGACAACAACCACCGATGCCTATCAAAGAAATCGTATCAGCTAATGCGCTGAATACGTACGGCCAATGAGACAGCTCGTCGGGATGTACCCCACATATGGTTGAACATCAACTATCTCCCTGTAGAGCGACCTCACCTCCTTGACATGAATCCAGGGCAACTTCCCCTGCATCTGCAGATTACCCATCTGCGGGAGATTCTTGCATCCAACCCATCACTTATGACTGTGCTCACTCGTGCCGCAGCCCTCAATCTGCCAAACTGGTACCTTGCTGGCGGCGCAGTGTCTCAGACAATCTGGAACACCGTTTCAAAGCTCCCACCAGAGACGGGGATCCTCGACTACGATCTCGTCTATTATGAAAATTCCGACTTATCATACGAGGCGGAAGACCTGGCCATACAGGCTGGAAAGCGTCACTTTGCCGATGTGCCTGTCGAGGTGGAAATCCGAAACCAGGCACGAGTTCATCTATGGTATGAACAGAAGTACGGTGTCACGTGTCAACCACATGCAAGTGTTGAGGCAGGGATCGACACATGGATATCAACAAGTGCCATGCTAGGGGTGAGAATAGACGAGGCGGGCGAGTGGATCGTGTACGCCCCTCGTGGGTTGTCCGACTTTTTCAACATGGTGGTGAGGCCTAATCTAGTCTTGGGGACGAGAGAAGCATATGATAAGAAGGTCAATCGGTGGAAGACAATCTGGCCAAAGCTTGTAGCCGAGCCTTGGCCGGCGGTGGAAAGCTGGCAGGTTCCCTAGCAGAGGTGGCGATTGCAGGCGGCTGGAAGCCTTGGGCCAGGCTGACCCCAGTTCATCCTCGCCAGCCTGAGCTTGCCACCAAGGAAAAGAGTTCCAATCCGGTATACCGAGATAAATGTCAGGAGATGGTGGCGTCGGACGTTGATGCAGAGTATGCAGCAAAGCTTGGGTCCATGAACCCTGAAGCGACCCGAGACAAAGATCCGACAGCGCATGGCCCAATCAAGCCCACATCTTGCTACTTGACTGGGAGCCCCTGGTTTTTGCTGCAGGAAGAGCATGGCTGGCAGTTTGACTATGCCAGCTAACGCCTACCGAGTACCCCAAGCACGGTTCACTCGGAAGAAAGACGGTCAGAAGGGAGAGGTGGGCACGGAGAAATACCGAAGATGACAAGATTGGCGAATGTGCCCGACTGGGCGTGGAGGTATAGCCATGGGTGAGGATGGCGAAGGGAATGGTTGAATGACCTTCATGGTCCCGACACTAAGGTTGTCCATGCTGGAGTGGCCACTACCTTCAACCAGATCCAACCAGAGAAGGGGATATTACCCACCTAACAGTTGAATGATTAACCGTTCCCAGGCCGGTGCGCGGTCCAGCCCTGCCACGCATGTCGCAGACTTCTAGGCCCGATGTCTACAAGCATCCCTTTTGGGAAGACGAAGCTTCCTGGCGCGATTTACACCATGCCTTGCTGCACAGCAGAACATAATCTGGACTGCAATCAAAAGCTCGATCCCGACCATGAGGTGTCGGGACCATGTTCCCTTGAGCCTTGGAGGCGGGAGAGCTTCGATTCGCGAAATTGCTTACCCCGACAGCAGAGGCCAAGAGACTGTTGTACCACCGCTCCCCACGGCCAAGCAGCGCCTAATTAGGTTCTACCGAGGATAATAGCTGTTTTGAGAGAAGGCAGACTGTCGCCACAGTCCCCAGAACTCTAGTGGACCTCCTTTTCCCACTCAGAAACAAGGGCTCCACCGGCTGTCAAGCTGAGGAAACGTGGGATCCTGTCAGAAGAGTCGGGCCACCCTGAGTCAGGGCTGCGCTATTCGTCGAAACAAGACCACCAAGGCCCAGGCTTAGACAACACTTTGATGATATCCGCCCAACTAGGTATACCGAGCGACAAGGGCGGGAACGCTATCAAACTTCTGGCTAACCCCGGGCAACCAATGCCAGTTTCCCCGCAATCATGCTTCCTCTCCAGCTTTACCCCGCGAGTTCTGTGGCGTCCAATCATTTGTATATACAACCGAGGGGTCCCATTACCTCGGACTTGAGGGCAACTAGGACAGGGCGCATCTGCTAGTACACAGGCAGTTCTATAAAGATCAAGCGGTGCATTGCCTTTTCAATCTCAGGGTCCCTTTTGAACCAACTCCATCTAGTCCGTGAGCCCAAGACGCGTGGTGCAAGATGACACATTTCAACAAGTGAGTAACGCCCAGCAGTGTCTCTGATTTCATCTAACCAGTTCACAGGCTCAACATCTGGTCGATCATCATTCTCTCCTTTGGAGCTTTCTTCTACGGCTATGACTCGGGCCTGACCACCTCTATTCTGGGATATCCTCAGTTCATATCTTACTTCAACTTCAATTCCAATACCATTGGAGCTCTAGGATCATGTTACTATGCAGGTAGCTTCTTTGGTTCTGGCTTGAACTTTTGGCTTCCCGATCGATATGGCCGGAAGCCCACCATCTACATCGCCTGCGTTGTGTCAGTTTTCCCAGTTTGCGGTGGTTGTGCAGTTGTCGCTAACGACCCCCTAGGGCTATAATTGGAGCCATCCTTCAAACTGCCGCCCAGAACATTGAGATGCTCTTCGTCGGTCGCGTAATAGGAGGAATTGCAAGTGGCATTGTTTTTGGCGTGTGCCCGATGTTCATGTCCGAAATCTCTCCTCCGGAATTCCGCGGGAGAGTTGGTGGTCTTTATAACTTGAATATCAACCTGGGCTACACACGTGAGTTTTTCCTTGGAGATTCCCAAGGTCAATTCCCCGTTTCCTGACATGTGTGCCAGTCACCGAATGGATGGGTCTTGGCTTCAGCTACATCAGCTCCGATGTCGCCTGGCGATTGTTTTTGGGGTTGCAGCATGTTCCGCCCGTTTTGATGGCCGCCTGCGTCCCTCTGCTGCCAGAATCGCCCAGATTTCTCATCATGAGAGGACGCTATGACGAGGCGCTGGAAGTCATTACGAAGCTCCATGGTGCCCCCGGAGTGGATGACGACTTCTACATCCGAGAATTCAACCAGATCAAAGCGCAGCACGAGCTCGAAGTCCGCGAACGCGTGGGCATCCGCACCGTTCTTCGCAAACCGTCATACCGCAAGCGAATGTTCATCGTGGTCTTCCAGTTCGCTTTCGCCATGTTTACAGGTATCATCCCGCTCCAGAACTACCAGTTCATCCTGTACACCTACCTCGGCGTCACCAACAAGACGGCACTTGTCATGGTCGGTGTCTGGGGCACTTGCGGCGTCATCTTCTGCACAATCGGTGCTCTGCTGTTTGACAAGCTTGGCCGCCGAGTGTCTCTGCTGATATCTCTGTGGGTGCAATTCCTGGCATCGATCGCCATGGTTATCTGTAAGTTCCCCGCTAGGTTGGTCAGTATCGAGACCGGAACTGCATCACTAACGGATTTGGCTAGTCTGGGCACGATTCCAACTCTCCGGAAACACCAATATGCTCCTCGGTCGCTTCACTGTTGGCTTCATGTTTGTCTACCTTATTGGCTACGCTTTCATCATGAACGCATTCGGTATGTCTTTTGCCATTGTTTGTCCATTCCAGTCCCGCTAATGAGTACGCAGGATACACATACCCGTCGGAAATCATGCCGACGCCGATCCGCGCCGCCGGCAACGCCGTGGCGTTCTGTACCTTCAACGCCATCACGATCATGCTGGTCCAAGTCACGCCGATCGCGGTCGAGAAGATCGCGTGGCGCTACTTCCTCATCTTCATCATCACCGACGCCATCTTCATCACGGTCGTGTACCTGGTCTACCCGGAGACGGTCGGCAAGACTCTGGAGGAAATTGCGGCGCTGTTCGGCGACGAAGTGGCAGTCGATATCCACGAGGCACACCATTACCCGGATACGGTAGAGACGAAAGGCGAAAAGGCTACTACCGAGGTGACCGAGGCCGAGAGAGTCGAAGACGTGGGCGGCGACAAGGGCCACAGTCACTCCCAGTAGAACGCGAGCCCAGACGCGCTGGTTTACTACCGACTCTCCTAGTTTTATCACCCGCGAGATACACGTAGCAAACTCGGTTTAGAAAAAAACCCAAACAAAATCCATCTTAGGACGCCGTCCTCGTTCCCAGACCATTTTGGCTTCACTCTTGCTTCTCGTATCTTGAGTCTCGGCGGTGGCCCCCAAGGTACCTAAGAAAATGCCGAAGAACCGGGGTCATTATTCGTGTCAACGAGCGGCTAAACAGGCGGCGTAGAACATCTTCCACGGACCTAGGTAACTGGCGCTTAACGCGAGGAAGAAGTCTCGACGAGTTGTGAAAACAATGTGCTCCTCGACGGGAGATGTACCCAGCGTGCCGGGACATGTCACCTAGATAAACCTACGCAATACACATACACATACACACGACTGTGCGGGATATGTCTGGACTCGTACCCAGTGGTCAGTAATGCGGAGCACAACTCGGTCAGCCTGCCTGCCAGCTAGTCCGACAGCATAATTCCCCTGTTACCTGTTTACCTGTTAACTATCTAGATGTTTACCTACTTGTGCCCATACCCCTTCCTTATCCTCCAAAAGCCCACTACACAGCATTGCTCTAGGCGCGGCTTTACGGACTTTGAGTCCCGCACCCCTTGTCCACCCCCTACAAGGTGCAAGGAATAAGTTCTCGGTTTTGTTACCGAGTCCTTGTTACCCCCAAACCAACCCTGCACTACGCTACGCTACGCTACCCTACCCTACCCTGCGAGTCGGAGAGAGAGAGAGTGTGTGTGTGTGTATATGAGGGAATCAAGAAAAGCGACATTCTCCAAATTCCCCAACCTCGACCCATTGAAAGTCTTGACTTGTGTTCGCGAGCATGGGCGGCGGCCCGGACGCAAAAGAAGCGAGTCGAGTCGTTCGGTTATCCCAAGTCGGTTACGGTGGTGGGAGGAATTAATAATTAATACGAGCTATGTACGAGGTAGGTACGACGTACCGAGTACATGGATACAGATAAGGATTTGCCGAAGTAAAGAGTGAGTGTGAGCACATGTATGCTAAAGCGGTGAGTGATTGATTCTACCGGGGGATACTTGAAGAAGTTAGGAGGAGGACACAAGGACACGAGGAGCGCTGGTGGGTGGTGACCGGGGGGGGCGTTGGTTTCGTCCTCGAGATTGATTCAGGTGGTCTATCTCACACACACACACACACACACACACACACACAATGTTGAAGGTGTCGAGCATGAGAGTTGCTGTATTTGAACTTGTAGGGAGGTAGGTAGGTAGGTAGCTACGACTGACGATGACTAGATTCTAGATTCGGAATGCCTCGTCCTTTTCTTATTACCTCGTCTTTGCCTTCTGGCGCGATCCCCGCTGGACTGCCCATTCCCAGAAGTCATCTACATATTGATATGTATCGAGCGAATAACACTGATTCCACTCCCGAATGTATGCGATATGGACAAAATGAATTTGTCCTTCAGACCTCAGCCACAAGGACAAGCAAGAAGCAACATAGGAGTCTGTTTCCCTACTGTGTTTACTCTTCGTTACCCGCCCCCATAGATTTACAGACAGACAGACCTTCAAGGGAAAGATGACAGTTCATATGTCCCTGATCTGCTCTCCATCTGCCCAGTGTTTCAAATCTTGCATGCCCGCGAACATGTCCAGTGCAGTTCTGAGAAGCGCAGCTTACCTCGAGAAACAGGGAGTGTCGCCCGGAAACGCCAAAAGGGATTGACCGGCCTGCCCAATCGATCATGTCGATCGCCAACATCTCAGCCTCAACATTGCAGTACAGGCTCTGTTTGGACACACACTCTTGACCTCAGCATACCATTTTTGACGCCGCAAACCCCATACTTACCGACGAGACGGTTTTGATGTCGACAGACAAGCCCAAGCGGGCTATCCCAATCTTGCCCCAAAACTCCTCTAAGAGGTCCTTATCATTGTACTTACAAAGGCAAAGGACAGCAAGGGTGCTTTGTTGGTGTCTATATCCTCCCAGGCAGGAATTGGCCCCCGTTTGGATCTGGCCCGATGCCTCTGGGTATGGGACTTGCTGCTACGAAGCAAGGATGGCGTTT